TCAGCTTGATAATTTGTTGCGACGTGCAGCATTGGTGGCGCCGACTTTGGTGGGATGCATCTCTCCGTTTTCCTACCCGCTTGCGACGAAGGCGCGTGTGAGTGCGTATTTTATCTACCGTTACAAACTTATAGCGTGATTAGGCTCACCCGTAGGATAGTCATGTCGACCTCACATCGATTCCGTCTCTGTGCGGGCCTCTCGCGTCTCTGCCGCTGGTCGAGGCTCGGCCGGCAGGGCGGAGGCGCCGGTCCGCTCCGGCCGTTGGCGTCGCCGGGAGTCGTCAGCGCCGACGCGGGGCGCGCGCGGCGCCCGGTCCGCCCGCGTCGGACCCGGCGCCGCGCCCCGCCCAATCACGACCCTGACCTTCGGGGAAGAGGTCAGGGTCGTGTCCGCAGCGACGCTGGACGCCGCGACCCGCCGCGACCCGGCCGCAGCGCGCGCCAGGCTGCATCACACGGCCCCGGCGTGGGGGCGGCTGCTCTGGACGCGGCGGCGGTCCGGGCCGGCGGACAGACGGAAGAGAGCGCGGCCCGGCCCGACCGGACCTCCTCCTCCGCCCCGCCGCCACGCACAGCCCGCCGGCGCAGCGACACCCATAAGCATACGCTTTGCTCAACGCGAACAGCTCCAATATCATGCTGAACCCTGACGGGTCGGTGCCGCGCGACACGCCAAACATTTCTCTCGACTTTAGCCTTCGATACTGGTGTCCCATCGGTTTAAGGTCGCCAGGTAGTTGCGCTGTCTGTTTCACGTTGCCTAAATCAAACATGCGCATCCTGCAATGGATGCAGGGGGCCCATGCTGGCAGGTATCAAGACTTTACCTTGCCGCATGAGTGCAGGTGCGTAGACTTCGGACATTCGTCGACGAGTTGTAAACCGTGAAAACCGTAGCGCAACTAAAGTACGATCACTCGCGTATTTGCGTATGCTTTCTGAATAAACCTTAAAGTTTCCAGCGCCTGTTTGCCGTATCTCCACTGGATACACAGCAAGTAGAGCGGGCGGTGACATGTATTCCGGTGTTGTCAGGCCACCCGCGTCGGCCATTGCCGCGGCGGCACGGCCGCGTCGGGCCGGCACCAGCACGGCTCCACCGCCTGATGGTGACGAATCACGCCACCCGGCCGATCACGCCATCCGAACGGCGCTCGACGAAGACTCACGCCGTCTGTTCGCTTCAGGCTGCACAGCAGCGTCGGCCTTCGTGCCAACACATCACGGGCCACATCACAGACGCCATTCACAGGCCTCGACCACACGTCACGCCCACCGACCTCGCCGGCACATCGTGTGCACCAATCACGTCCTAGACCACGCCTGTACGCCACGTCCAGACGTCACGCCAGCAGACGTCGACGTCAACAGACCACGTCCGCCGCTGGCGGCGTCGCCACCCGTGGTGGGCTCGCAGAGGGCGGGTTCCCGCAGCCGATGGTGATGTCCAGCCGTTCAGCGGGGACGACGGCGCTCCCGGCGGTGCGTGAGCGCGGCGAGCCCTCACTTCCAGGCGCCCTTCGACCGCCAGTCGAGGAACTCATCCACCTCGGCCTCGTCGGCGCTTGAGTCGTCGTCGCCGTCGTCTGGCCGGGACGCAGCGGCCGCCGCCGCCGCTGCCGCTTCCTGCTGTGCCAACTGCTCCTTCCGCTTCTCCATGCTGATCACCCTGGAAACGGAAGCCCAATCTGATGTGAATGCCCGGAGAAAGCCGATCCGAGTCCAATAACCTGGAATATTTCAGCCACCCTTTGATTCTGGTCGGCATGGCTCCGTGGACGATGAAAACACGCACACAAAAACGCCAGAGCGGTGACTGCTTGGATAATATCTCGACTTCCACACAAATGGTGGCGGTCGTGCGGCTGGACGAAAATAGATTAAATACAAAATAGGCTTGGGTCGGATCAGATATCAGAACAAATGAGCAGCCTAGTGACGACAAACATCCGGAACACAATCACATCGTTTTGGAAGGAAAGTTTGCACGCATTTGGTTTAAAATGATGAAGTGCTCAAACAGACGCAACGAAAAATATGCAAACGCTATTGGACACCTGAACATGGTTTCAGCTGCTGAACGCGGCGTGACGATTAAGAGTTCTTGGCGTATGTACATACACACCTGGGGCTTCCCATGATAAATCGACAGGGCCATAACACCCATATTTTGTATTTTGATGAGAATTGTTCCAGAGGATTGTTTAAAACCCTGAAGCCAGCTGTCTGATTTTCAGAATGACAGAGCAATGGCTCCAGGGTTAAAAATATATACATATCGCTGTATTCGCAATGACCAGGCGCATCTTTTAGATGCTTCCATTTTTCTGTTTGCTGGATTTCAAAAGTTGTGACAACGTGACAAAAAGTCGCGTGACCTCTTTTGGCTTTTTGAACACGCACAATCTCTACCAAAAGCAAAAATAAAATGAAACGTGATTTTCGTTTAAAATAGAAAAATGTTTCAAACTAGGCATAGGTGGCAGTTTTCGCGATCGTTTAAATCGTACGCACCGGTGATATGTTTAGGAGATGGCGAAATGCTGAAGCAAAAGGCATTATCATCAAACATGTCATCCGATGAGATGATGGATCAGTGATCGCATTGTCGTCATAAAAGTGTGCCAAAGCGTCGGGATATGGGCGGGGGGGGGGGGGGGGATATCCGGACTCCTCACAAAACTGAGCAGAAATCGCCTCACGGTAAAATAAACACATGCAAGTACCAACCAGGAGAGGTAAAAAGGCACATTCACGTTCCTGATCTCAGAGGGCCCATCACGTGACAATGGTGGTGTCACGGGGGTTGAAGGGGGTGGGGAAAAGGGCAGTCTAGCAACAATACTGTGAAGGATAGGTAAATGTTGCATAAGTTGATCTTTTGATTAAGTAAAATAAGTCTTTGTCAGCAATGCCCCACTCACAAACGGATTGTCAATGATCTGTTTGTTTGTCCACTCCTCACGCCCCGAAAAGTAAAAGCTGCGAAGGCAAAGGTTGGCACCTGGCGGGGCAAAGACAAAGGGTGTCCCCGCGTTGGGGACGCTCAGGCTCACGCTTGCTGGCCGTGCTGGTTCAGGTGTTGCGACTTTCCGCCAGACCTTGTTCGCCCGATGTTGGATTGGGGCGAGTGATGTCATGCGTGTTTGTGTATTGCGATCCGTTTCATCGGCGCAAGCGGCCTATTGAAAGAAGATAAGCACGGTCTCAGGTGTGCTGATCAAAGACGCGAATGATCTCCGCCTTGCTAAAGATATTCACCTTTGTGTAACTGGGTCAAATATTACTAGGGTACACACAGCATTCCCGTAAAAATTCCCATATTCGAGTGCTGATGCTGAACTCAGCAGCAAAACGAAAGCACGGAAGACGGGTCTATTTCGTCAGATGATTCGGCTGACACTGGTGTCATCGTTCAGCTTGATCGCCAAGTTGCGGATGAAGTTATGCCCATGTTCCGGTTTTCACCTTAAGCCACATGCGAGGTAATGTTATGCATCGCTGCAGTTGTTAGCATGCCGTGCATAATTTATGGGTAAGGAAGTATTCATGAACTTGATTTTTAATCATATTCGTGACATTTTCGTACCATGTGATGCTATCAAGCATTCTCGCACTTGAATCTTAGATATTATATATATATATATATATATGCATGTACATAAAAAACGGCTAAATTTACCACCAAAGCAGCATCAAAATCATATTCGGAAAAGCTTAGCAGAGTCCAGCCCAACTTTTCCTCTGGCTACCATAATGATTGAAATAAGTAGATAATAAGCTTGTGCGTTCATATTCCAAACGGCTAGCAAAACCTGAGACTGTGAGAGCACTGATTTGAAACGCCCATTTATGTATGGTTAGTGCAATGTCACTGGCCAATACATACGATCATTTACCCTTTGGATCTACAGGATGCCTTACGGAAGGGCAGAGGCCGACACAGGGAGCCGAATGGCTCAGAAAAGCGTTAGGATCGCCGTAAACCTTACTGAATGTACACGCGACATCAGGAAGGAGACAAGCGAATAATAGGCAAATAAGGGCTGAAGATGACAACTTGGCGATGCAAAAATGTCTACAACTGCTTACATAAGTTATCCATTCTTTCTACCGCTTCACTTCAGTTTCTGTGAATGGATGCCCATTTTCTTACAAGCGTAGGATCATGGTATGAGTTATCGACTACTGACTGAACATTCATTGCGGTTCAGACAGCCCCAGATAACGGATAAGCTGAAAGGTCAACTTAACAACACCGGTCGAAAAGACGGTTCTCAATCTTTTACTCTCTCGCCTTTGTCGCTGTATCGGACAACCGAACTTTTTGAAAGGGCCATGCACATGGTCGAAAGAACCACGAACTAAAACGGCCATATGGTATCGCTTGGCAGAGGTCGCCAAAGAGAGGAGAGACCTGATCGGGGGGGGGGGGGGCGGGGCGGGGTCCCTCATGCGGGCGGAACGAAAGTGAAGCTAGTCTACGAGTCGCACCAGGTCAGCCGGATTGTGTGATTAATGCGTTCATACAGTCCCTTGTTCCAGAACCTGGCAATATAGCGCCCACTTTCTAACAAATCATTTCACAGATGGTGGTACCACACCGCGCAAATCAAAATACAGCTTTATCCGTACGTGCGACCAATGGGTTTGATTTCAGGTTGCCATGACTCTGACATTGACAGTACCATTTTTACTACCTCTTGGGACGACGTGTCCGTCACATCGGCAGGCAGGCCTGTGCCAGCATCGGGGGCACAGCTAAACGTGCAACGGCACAGGAGAGCCTCAGGTGCACCTATGCCCACCAAAGACTGATGGCGGGGGAAAAGGGGGGAGGAGGGGGGGGGGAGGCGCATCCACATCGGAGAAACTGGTCAGCAAAATCCTGTTCATCTAGGTATCTGGGCAGGAGGTGGCGAGCGCTGCGAATCTCCCCGCCCGGGCTTCTCAGAAGCTGTCACGGTGAAGGGCACTCGGAGCTTTCACAAGTTATCACCAGTGACAGAAAGGGTTGGCTCATCGCATCAGTTGGCTTACATATGAGCACACCTTCTCATATGAGCACACCTTGCGTGAAGTGTTGAATGGCGCTTTCATGCCAGGTCATTGGATCATGATATTGCAAACAGCCTATGACGATACGCTATTCGTTGCATGTGCAGGTAACGCGCCAAAGGAGGTGGCCGTTTGTGTGGTGTGACGGACATGAATGTGGAAGCATATTTTTGTAGACGCCATTTGGCAATTTGTCTCCTCATGACACATTCAGACTTCATTTAAAACCATGTTTGTGGTTAGAATGCCTTCCATTTGTATACAACCATGTACATATATATATATATATATATATATATATATATATATATATATATATATGTATGTATGTATAGATGGTGAGGGTGCGTATGTGAATTGCACAGCTCACATCGATACACTACATAAGAGTATAGCCTCCATGACATTTCATCTCATTAGAGCCTGTCACTTGTAACATCCGTAACATCCGGGTAAAATGAACCCTACATAGTGGGTTTATAACGCACATTAAATTTCAGAAGAAAAACACTATTTGAAGCTCGTTTGGAGCGGATAATTGACTGCTGTAAATTGATTTGTTTCGAAAAACAACATTGTAGATTATCAAAGGTCAAGTGGTTTTCGTCACGAGGTCTCAGTTTTAGAATTTGAGTAAGCAAAGCTTTGAAATAGTCCAAAGGTCCACTAGATCGTTGCAAGTTCAGCGATTATAGTTGTATGCAATTATGACAACTCTGAATGGAGTACAGACACTTTAAGGCGTCCTTACTAGCTGACCCCAAATGCCCGAGGCTATAACTCCTTAGCCGTTGCTTGATCTTTCTAGAAATTGCACATATGAATTCGGGGTGTGCCACAACCCTACACTGATAATTTCAGCGGAACAAAAAATATGGAGTGTTATGTTGGCGCCTCCATCTGTCGATTTGTCGTGTAACGCCCCACGTGCGCTGCCGCGACGCCACCTGCGGCCATGCGACCCACGCTACACAGACCGCACGTTCCGCCGCCCCCGTATTTGGGCATTGATCGCCACCGGGCCGAGAGGGCTGATCTAACGCAAGGCTCGCATCTCAGCAGCAATGCCCTAGTTGTTGAAGCAGCTCAAGAGAACCAGACGGAAATCGGACCCCACCAGCCAAAACGCGGTCAGACCTGCGTCAATGCGCCGTGTGTTTGGTCAGAGCAGGAAAGCATGCAGAGCGGACACCTGTTGTGGGGACCGATGTATTCTCAGACTCGTGGGGGACTGCGGCCACATTTTCACCGTGCAGAGTATTGATAACGAGGTCACAGGTCATGACGCGGTACCAGAAATGGTGTGCATGGTCCACTTTGACGTTTTCGGGCCGATTGTAAAACAAAACTGCGTAAGTAGAGCTACTCGAACACAGGAATGACGCGTTCATCAGTTCCGGACGTAAGCTTGAAAAAGCTGAAGGGGTTGCACCAACTCTCCCGTCATGGCAGAAACTAGAGTTCTGCTTGTGCAGATGACGATCGTATAGTTGTCGCAACAAGGGTGGCTCGCGCCGTCGCGCAGTCCGACAACCTGCGCTGATCCTCCCGACGGCACTCAGCTTTCCCGACCGCGCAGCTACTGGGCGCAAGCGCGCCTGGGCCGCGCTGTTGAC